TGTTGCTCCGGGCTCCGCCTCTGCTGTTGCTCCGGGCTCCGCCTCTGCTGTTGCTCCGGGCTCCGCCTCTGCTGTTGCTCCGGGCTCCGCCTCTGTTCTTGCTCCGGGCTCCGCCTCTGTTCTTGCCCCGGGCTCCGCCTCTGCTGTTGCTCCTCGCTCCGCCTCTGTTCTTGCTCCGGGCTCCGCCCCGGCTCCAGCCCTTGCACCTGCTCCGGGCCACGCCCCTACTCTTACTCCGGATCCCACCCCGGCTGCTACTCCGATCCCCGACTCTACTGATGCTCCTGGCCACACTCCTGCTCCTGCTCCTTGTCTCGCCCCGCCTGCTCACCGCGCCCCTGAACCTTGCTCCGCCCTTACTCTTTGCTCTGCTCCTGCTCGTCACCCTGTCTCGGTTTCTGGCTTTGGTCGCGCCCCTCCTCCTGCTCCTCCCTCTCGCAACGACCTTGCACCTGTCCTTGTCTCTGCCCCTATTTCTTGCTCCGGCCCTCCACCTTTCGCACTGCCCCTTCTCGGCAGTTAGCTTTCCTCTTGCTTTGATCCTGCACAGGGCCTGGGTCCGGCACTTGGTCCGCCCCTTCTTCTGGTCTTCCCGGATCTTCTCCTCCACTTGCCCCTTTCCCTGTCCCCGCCCCTGTTTTTCGCTTGCGGCTCGCTCTACGCTCTGCTTTCGCTCCTTACCCCGCTCTTGTTCCTCGCCCCGCCCCTTCTCACCACGGGCCCTCTCCTCGCCCCGCCCCTTCCCCTCGTCCCGCCCCTTCTCACCACGTGCCCTCTCCTCACCCCGCCCCTTTTCGCCCCGGGCCCTGTCCTCGCCCCGGGCCCTCTCCTCGCCTCGCCCCCTCTCCTCGCCTCGCCCCTTCTCGCCCTGGGCCCGCTCCTCGCGTCGAGCCCTCTCCTCACCCCGCCTCTTTTCGCCCCGGGCCCTGTCCTCGCCCGGGACCCTCTCCTCGCCTCGCCCCTTCTCGCCCCGGACCCTCTCCTCACCCCGCCCCTTTTCGCCCCGGGCCCTGTCCTCGCCCCGGGCCCTCTCCTCGCCTCGCCCCTTCTCGCCCTGGGCCCTCTCCTCACCCCGCCCCTTTTCGCCCCGGGCCCTGTCCTCGCCCCGCCCCTTCTCGCCCCGGGCCCTCTCCTCGCCTCGCCCCTTCTCACCCTGGGCCCGCTCCTCGCGTCGAGCCCTCTCCTCGTCCCGCCCCTTCTCTTCGCCCCGGGCCCTCTCCTCCCCTCGCACCTTCTCGCCCCGCCCCTTCTCTTCGCCCCGGGCCCTCTCCTC